AGTTTTATATAAATACTTAAATAAACAAATTAAATAATGCTATTTTAAATGTTACAGTTTTTATATGAATGTATTGTACTGAAATTGATGTTTCATATGTAGAGCGACAGTCGAATCAAAATGTCTTTAGGCTGCACTTACGTGAAAGTGAGCTTACTTATGAACATGTGTTTGAACTGTGGGTTTATAATGACTCGTGTGTTTGAACTGAGGGTTTATGGTGAGTAATTCACTGTTTTTACTAATTTTAACACTTCCACTTCTTATATGGAGTTGAAGATTCGGGTTCGAATCCGTGTAATACCACACAATATTCTCCACACTTTAAGCTGTGGATGCGTTATAAGAGTAATGTACAATTTCTTAGTGTGTATGGTAGGTGGTAGTGTGCTTTTCACAGGCTGTCTTTCCTATGGTCAGTAATTCAAAATTAGGAACCACAGCAGCTGTCCTTAGTAAATTTATCATAAATTCAAAACACAAATATATCATTTGTTCTTCTTCCAAACCGATAACTTTTTCATTCTGTGATTGATCAGAAGAGTCTCTGATATTCTGACGAAATCATAAGTCTAGCTCTCCTAATAAGTATTAACATCCTTCCGATAATTACACAAGTTAAAGTTAATTTAAAAGTAAGTCAAGTCCCAAGCATGCCGTCGTTTATCTCTAGATAATTTCAAAAATATAACTGGATTTTTTGCTTCCAGGTTTCAACAGTTTCTTATCTTGTACGTTTGCAGTTATTGTTTTGTTAAAATGTAATTACATTTTGAAGTCTGCCAACAAGGAAAACACAACAGTTTCTTTGAAGAAGACAGGAAATAAAAGAGGTATACAAATTCAGAAATTTCTGTGCATTTCACCGCTACAGGGTTTACTTTTTTTTAAGTTATTTGTACATTAACGAGTGAGAACATGATATAAAGAGATATATATATAAAACCTTCGTGACATAGATCGATATCCCCAAACAATACTAATCGTTATGAGCACTCTCGCATTGATTCAACGTTATCTGAGTAACTGAGATGTATCTGTAGCACATGTTTGTTATTTATTTGTTATGAATTTCGCGCAAAGCTACACTAGGGTTATCTGCGCTAGCCGTCCCTAATTTAGCAGTGTAAGACTAGAGGGAAGGCAGCTAGTCATCACCACCCACCACCAACTCTTGGGCTACTCTTTTTTACCAACGAATAGTAGGATTGACCGTCACTTTATAATGCCCCCACGGTTGAAAGGGGAGCATGTTTTGTGTGACAGGGATTCGAACCCGCGACCCACAGATTGCGATTCGACCGCCATAACCACCTGAGCATATAGTACATAGAACTGACAATAGTATCCAAGATTAATAGATGTTTTAATTTCATCTTTGCAATTATTTTTAAACCTATCGAGCAAAAGTCAAGAGTTTTTCAGAATTATGAGTTCTTTACATAATTCTTTTTCACTGAGAAATATTTTCTTTTACTAATATGAATTATTCATTTAATAATAAAATCCTCTTACGACCGCATGGTTGTGTTTATAATTCAGTTGTTGTCAACTTGATTCGCTCCGTTATAGTTGTTGTATACGAAAAACATTTTAAGCTTTTAAGATTGTGAAATTATTAGTAGTTTGGGAACGTTTGCTTCACTCTTCAACGACAGAAATGCGTTTGTATCAAATATCATCAAATACAGTATGATGAAGAAGAATATCTGACATTCAGTTCGAAACACAAGTTCAGAAGAACAATCATGGCCGTGAAGAACGTGTGGCTGAGAGACATCTACTCAGAAAGTTTCAGGTTTATCAATATTCAAATAATTTTAATATTAAATGAACAATAGATTCATGATTATCAATAATTAACTAATTTCAACACTAAGTAGTCAAGATTCGTGGTTGTTAATATCGGCAGCATTATTTAAAAATGAATAACCACGATATTTCTTGTTTAGTTCATATTTTCATTCAGGTTCGTGTTTCAGGCTGTTTTTCTGTATTATATATTATTCTAATAGATCTTTATTATAAACTAAAAATAAAACACAAGTAGTAAAAGCAGAAGTTTAGTTGAGATCTTAAAGTAGTAAAAACACAAGTTTAGTTGATATATTAAAGTAGTAAAAGCACAAGTTTAGTTGAGATCTTAAAGTAGTAAAAGCACAAGTTTAGTTGAGATCTTAAAGGAGTAAAAACACAAGTTTAGTTGAGATCTTAAAGTAGTAATAGCACAAGTTTAGTTGAGATCTTAAAGTAGTAATAGCACAAGTTTAGTTGAGATCTTAAAGGAGTAAAAACACAAGTTTAGTTGATATATTAAAGTAGTAAAAGCTGCAAAATCGAAAATTAATACGTAAAGTAATAAAGGTATATCTCCGAAGTGTATTGAAAACAAAATGATTATATAATTACTACTGGTTTGAAGTCACAAAATGGTTTTCGATTAGAACAAACTACATAAATATTTGATGAAAGGCGTAGAACGGAAAACGTTCGCTTACTTGGTAAGGAGGTTTTGTTTGTTTGTAATTAAGCACAAAACTACACAATGGGATATCTGTACTCTGCCCACCACGAGTATCGAAACCCGGTTGTTAACGTTGTAAGTCCGCAGACATACCGCTGTGCCACGAGAAGGCGATCATTAAAGAAAATTGTTATATACCAATTAAAACTACTGGGGGTAGTGGGGGTAAGAAGGTTCGGGTAATTTGGTAAAAACTCTTTAATACTAATCATTACGGTCCCTTGGTGGGTTAGCGCTAAGTTTATCGATTTGCAGTTCTAAAATTTGGGACTCGATTCCCTTCGGTGTACAGAGCACAGACAATAAAATTTTCTGATTTGCGCTGAAACAACAATTACTCATTAATAGACTGTTCTTAATAGTTTTACTTGGTTATGAAATGTATGTTTTTGTGAGATGAAATATTTGTCGTTTGATTCATGTTTTATTTCATGTTTAACCTCTTACATAAATAATCAGATCCAGTTAGCTAGAATTTTAATCATACAGTATTTACAACGTGTATATCTATCTCATGTATACTTGACGTAAGCTAACACCTACTTCTCCGAGGTTTGAACAATGCAATATTTACAATGTGTTTATCTATTTGCTGTGTATTTATGGACCGGCATGACCAGGTGGTTAGGGAGCTCGACTCGTAATCTGTGTGTCGCGGGTTCGAATCCCTGTTCCACCAAACATGCTCGCCCTTTCAACCATTGGGGCGTTATAATGTGACGGTCAGTCCCACTATTCGTTGGTAAAAGAGTAGCCCAAGAAGTGGCAGTGGGTGGTGATGACTAGCTGCCTTTCCTCTAGTCTTTCACCGCTAAATTAGGGACGGCTAGCGCAGATAGCCCTCGTATTTGATAAATTTGCATCTACTCGGCTAGGATTTGAACAACGCAATATTTACCATATGTTTACTTAATTGTTATGAATTTGTTAAAATTGCATCCAATAGGATAGGATTTGAACAACGCAATACTTACCATATGTTTATTTAATTGTTATGAATTTGTTAAAATTGCATCCAATAGGATAGGATTTGAACAACGCAATACTTACCATATGTTTATCTAATTGTTATGAATTTGTTAAAATTGCATCCAGTATGATAGGATTTGAACAATGTAATATTTACAGTGTGTTTATCTATTTGCTGAGTATTTGTTAAAATTGCATCCACTAGGCTAGAATTTGAACAATACATTGTTTACAGTGTGATTATCTAAGCGATATGTATTTAATAAACTTGTATATACTCGGCCAAGATTTGAACAATACGTTATGTACGGTGTGATTATCTAAATGATGCATATTTGACTTTAGATAACACCATTTGTCTAGATTGGGAACAATATGAATTTACGATCTATTTACTTTAACTGAAGCAGCCTAAGCGAAGTATAAATCTCAATAATATAGCATCTGTATATCTAGGTAGTTTTACAGCACTGTTACTAAGACATTTACTGTTTCTAATATTTAACTTCAAAATCGTAAACTTTTCCGAGTAATAAATAACGTTACACATATCTACCTTATTGTTCGAAATGTAACCTAATTATTTTCATATTTCACATGGCTTGGTTCATGCTTTAGTGTTCCTTTTTACAATGCAATCATCTGTTTTAAATAAATCTGATTTAAACATTTTTTGGGACTAAGACTTAAAGTTCTACTTAATGGAAAGGTTAACATAACTAAAATATTAAACAACAGAAGGTAATGACGGACGTGTGTGTAACACATCCTGCTTAAAATGTTATATATTTAAACAAAGTTGATAATTTCATAAAACCCAAGACAGTTCTGAATTAACTGAAGATATAAGAAGATAAAGACCAAAATATAAAGCATAAATGTGTTAACGGTATTACAGAGGAGAAACTAAAACATGGGGAATGCTGCTAGGCCCACGACTAACGTTTATGTTCAATTATTATGGAGTGACACTACCCACCGTTTCATCAGACAGTTGTCCTCCATCCTATAACGTCCATATCTCCAGACTTTTGAAGCCATCTTTGCTGAGATGTTAGCATGGTGCTGGTTGGCTGATTCTGCTCCTACCGCAGCACTGCCTGGATTCCATGTATTTTCCCGCTTTTAAATCAAAGAATATGTCAAGGCTTATCTCCTTATATAAGGTGAGAAGTACTGGTTTATTTATGCTTATATGGTTACATATATTTCCTGTGTATTTCATAATGGTTTCTTTCTTAAGTGAACTTAACAAACCTGCTCTCTCAGCTTCTGGTCTGAAATATCCCTTATGTGATATACATCGTCCAATTTCAGCTGTTTCTTATTAAACTAGACTACAATGTTGCATGAAATATCGTTTCAAGCATATGAATACATAATTCTTGCAGACAACACTTTATGAGAGTCCCGAATATTCATGGAGGATTAAATTCAATGGAAGTAATGATAAATATTTTATAGTTAAGTATGTTAATCTTTAAGATAAGGAATTACAGCTGTGAATTATAAGGTCGGCTATGAGGTTCTGAGTAAGAATTTGGTATTTCTTATAAACAAAACCAAGAGGGCGTAAGTTGGCGGCACTAGCTTTGTATATCATTACAAATGTATCATTGAAATGAAATAATTAAGTTTCCTTTTAAAATTTATAAACAAAGTCAAGAGGGTGTAAGTTGGCGGCACTCGTTTTGTATATCATTGCAAATGTATCATTGAAATGGAATAGTGAAGTTTTCTGTAAGAATACTTATGTATAATATTATTTTATTCCACCAAGAATATAATATTAGTATTTACTGCTTGAGAAAGTGAGGTAAGCTTGATCACATTTTACATCAGTTGCCTTTAACAAATTTTAGCAATCGGGATGGAACGTTGATTTTTAGCTCCAAAGAAACAGTTAAAAATCGCTTTCAATGCTTTACTTCAATAAAAAACTTAACCTTTTCCAATAGTAATAAATGGACTCTGACCTTTAAAATATATGTTGGTATAGGTTAAAATACTACGAGCTAACTCTGACCTTTAAAAGATGAGTTGGTATAAATTAAAATACAACGAGTTATGTTTTGACAAAGAATACAACTTGAGAACATTTGAGATCCAGAAGTTTTACAAGTAAGATGTCTGTTCCATTATTATTTGATGTAGATTCAGTTATTGCTAAAGATCAGTTTCCAGCGCTTAAATATAAAAAAATAAACGTTTTTAAGTTGATGGGTTACAGTTTATAATTTCTATTAAGTTAAAACAAGGTAAAACAAAACAAAGAGTTGTAGATCTGAACATATTATTAGTATTTAAAATCATTCTTGAAATAATGTAAAAGTAAGTTATTTAGACAAGATAATGTATAAACCTTCAGCAATAATTAACAAAAGAGAAACAAACGATTAGTATTAAGTGATTTTATAGGTGATACTGCTAAACAATATATATGTAACATTTATGCATATCTTAATATTTTATAATAATAATAATTTATTTTCTTCTTTATTTAGATTATATATTATATTTTAGCAACATAAAAATTAGCTCTTTTAATTGATTAGGGGTAAATAGAATATATAAACCAGATTATAATCAAAGTTTAGTAAAGATGTTTGGGTTTTATTGTGCTAATAGACAGATATTCACTTAAAATGTTTTGTGATTTTATTTTACGCTGCGATTAAAGCAGAAAAAATTCAGAGGTAAAAATTCTTATTGATTTGTTGTTTTCAGTTTGAATCTAAAGAAGGTCAGCTAACTATGGAATTTTTGTTTGTTCGTAAATCAGCACAAAGCTATACATTGGGCTATCTGTTCTCTGTCTACCACGGGTATCAAAACCCGGTTTCCTTCCAGTATTGTAAGTCTGCAGAGATACCACTGAGCCACTGAAGGGCCTAACTACAAAGCACGTGTTATAAAACTTTCAGCCTTAAAGACATACAGAATTTCTTATTATGCTAAACACTTATTGGATGTTTCTTTTTCATTAAAAGTTTGTTAAATATTTCACGTTGTTGTTGCCAGTGTGGATTCTTTATCTATATAATTAAATGAGTTATCTTAATTTTAAAACAAACAACGTTATAAAAAAGGTATATCACTTTAAAAAAATTAAAGCAATAAATGCTTAGTGATTAATATTTGGAACATTTTTTACCAGTCTCAGTTTTTCTAAGCTGTTATAAATGAGTCACATAAATGTTCACCTTTATAATGAAATGTGCATTACTATCACTTTGTTCTAAACCTGTATAGTTTCAATGTGTTTAACCGGTAGTGGTGAGGAACAGGGGAAAACCTCTATGTATAGAATGCTATGTTGACTGATAGTGGTGAGAAACAGGAGAAAACCTCCATATATTGGGTGCTGTGTTGACTGGTAGTTGTGAGGAACAGGGAAAAGCCTCCATATATAGGATGCTGTATTGACTAACAGTGCTGTGAGATATTGAAAACCTTCCATATATAGGATCCTATCTTTACTGGTAGTGCTATGAGGTAGTGAAAACACCTTCTAAATATAGGATACTATGTTTACTAGTAAGTCTGTGAGATAGGGAAGTCCTCCAATGGGACCGCGCTCTACAGACTTGCGATGCTAAAATCCGAGGATTGATTCCTGTGGTGGACACAGCAGATAGCCCAATGTGGCTTTGCTCTGAAACAAACAAATAAACAAACGATAGGAAAAAGACTTCCATATATAAGATGATATATCGACTGGCAGTGTTGTGAGATATATGATGCTATGTTGACTAGTAGTGCTGTGAGATAGGGAAAACCATTCATATATAGGATGCTATATTAATTGGTAGTGCTGTGAGATAGGGGAAACCTTCCGCATATAGGATGCTATAGAAATATTCTACTTACAGAAGTACTACATTCTTCAGGTCATTTAGGCCAGAAAGCTTCTTCAATGATATTTGAATCTGAACTAGCGGGATCTGAGGTGATACAGCGAATCTGTGGAAGTATATGGAAAAACAGAGTGAAATAAAACAAAAATATTATATGTTTTTAATATAGCGTAAGACGAACGAATGTTTTTTTTTTTGAAAAAAGAAACATTTTGTGAAACTAAAGATTAAAGAATTGGTGAAGGTCATAATTGAATATGAAAAACAAAACACCAAGTCTCTTTCAACGTCGTTTGGATAAAGACACATTTGATATTTGGTAGTATAAATGTTTTTTTTTAACTTATTTGTTTCGATAGTTAAATTGACCACAAAACATATTATTTTACAAAATAGAAGCCACATGGAGTTGATAATGTAGAAACTTTAGCAAAATTTCTTGTTTTGGTTTTTCGGTTTTGAATAAAATATTTTGCTATTTTCCTTTGGATGAAAATTTTCCCGTTTGTTACACACATAAAAATATATAAATTTATAAAAATGTGTCTAAACACCCATGAAAATATATAAATGGATAAAAATGTGTCTAAATACACATAACAATATATAAATGGATAAAAATGTGTCTAAACACACATAAAAATATATAAATGGATAAAAATGTGTCTAAACACACATAAAAATATATAAATGGATAAAAATGTGTCTAAACACACATAAAAATATATAAATGGATAAAAAATGTATCTAAACATCAACAAGTTATTATGTTAGTCACACGTCAGCTTTGTGTGTTTTTACATAAGATTATAAAATAATAATAAATAAACATCGCGAAAAATTGAGTACATGTCTAATCCAATTTATTTGAATGTATAGTTGCCACATTAGATGCAATAATCACGATATCTCTGTAACGCTAAGGCTAAATATTATTAATATATATACTCTTTTCTTAATTTATTATTATTTTAAAAAACTGTCACTGAAAATTCGAAGTCCCAATGAAATTGTTTATACACATCCTCAGCAAAAGAATTTGGATTTGAGGATACAAGAAATTTCTTTATCATACATCATAACGGTTTTAAAAACTTCAAGTTTAATTAATAATATCTTCATTATGTTACATCCTTACTTTCAGTAAATTTCTGAAACTGGCTAACCAAAACGAAGAATTTTATACTGTTACATTATATAGCATAGACTGAAAACGTTAAATATTTCAGTGTTTTTCATTTTGTACAAATAGAAATGATAAATCTTAGTTAGTGTTTTCTGTGTGTACTAAAAACACATCACTCGTTAAACTCAAACATTTGTAATCATAATAAATAAACTTAGTGTTCCAAAAATTGTTTAATCTCGAAGTCTAAGTTCAAGGAAGATCCAGTTCAATCTACATTTTGACCAACGCGTGTTTTGGAGAATTCCATTACTCATCAATAACCCTGAACACAAGCTAACCAAAGAGAGATAAGCTGGACCTATATCCTAGTGAAAAGTATCAAACAATATGTTTTATGTTTAGTCATAACTACGAATAAAACATTAATACCTAAAACCTTTGACAGCTGTAACTAGAACTGAATTGTACTTCACCTAAATTCTTATCTATTCTGTTTCATTTTGTATGACTTTGACAATAGTTTATAAGCTGTGAGTGAATGGTAATTATAAAACTTCAGACTAGGTAAAGTCCTGTAGATGGAAATCGTGGCTGTTCTATACCTAATGTGCAGTTGTGGAACTTTGTAATTTGCACCTTCTAGAATTAACGTGTTAAATTATGCTAAGAATGGATAATCAGAGACAATAGACGAAGTTAAAATAAATTACTATTAGAACCGTTAGTTTATTTGATATACTCAACATTGTGAGTAAGATGTTTTTAATTAGATATGCTCCCAATCTTTATAATTACTCTTATCCATCATTTTCTTATCTTCTAAACCGCAGGTTAACAGCGTGATCGAGCGACTATCTAAATATTTGTTTCTGCGAACAAGAATTAAGTGTTAAGTTCTGATAAACCTAATGTTCTGAAAGCTTTTGCTCGTGACTAAATTCGTGCCTATTCCAAAATGGGAAGAAAATTTAAGCATACACTTCTCGAAGATTCTGGTAAATTTCACATATGACAATTAAAACTTTAAAAAAATTACTTGTGGACTTTAACAACTACTGGCTCTCCCTCTAAAATATCAGCACAGTTAGCACCTACGATAACTGATATATTTCCTTGTATCTTAATATATTAACTACACTGACAACACTTTTCCAGGTGTATGCGAATAAAGTAAGACGTATTTGAGCTCGTTATAAAGTTATAACAGAGAACGTACAAGTTTCTTTAGCTCAAGACTTCAGGAAATGTTTTTTTAGGATAAGACTTGTGCATGCGTTCTTTAACAATACGTTTTAAAGACCAAGCTTTTCTTAATACATATCCTTAATGCTTAAAACTAACAGGATCTTGTTTGCCGATATTAGAAACAATATTTACATTAGTACTTTCTATTGTTATATGTTTGTGTGAGTGCTTTAATCATCTTACACTGATAAGACCAGCTAGAAGCAAACCACGAACTTTAGACCAACCATTTGTTTATGTGTGTGAAGTAACAGTATCAATACACCAGATGTCTTGTTTGCTTCCTCGACAAAAATAAGTCAGTTGTCTCATCCCTCAGCAATGTGACTTTCATTTGACACATACCTGCTGGCTAGACAGCTTTTCTTTTGGTTGAAGTTTTCTAGATATTCAGAAACAAAAGTGACACCCTGACATTTATTTATCACGACCTTTATTCGTCGTGAATACACAGCTTGCAACGTCGTATCTTCAGTTTGTGTGTACAACAAATCTTCTACCAAGCTAGCGTCTGCCAAAAATCAGTAAATAAAACTCCTTTAAGTAAACTCTAATATGCTCTGATCTGTCAAAGATAGGAGCTTAATTCGTGATTTCTAACCCTCTTGCTTTCTATGTAGTTTTAAAGGTTGTTTTGTGTCTACTGTATTACTTGTTTCAATTTTGAGTTGGAGTCAAGTACATATTTACTACAGGCGATTGATTAAAATATTGATTCAGGTCTATATTTAATTAGTAACTAGTCTGAATCTTCAATGTTTACTACAGGTGATTGATTAATGCATTAAATCAGTTTTGTATATCTGACTTTTTCACACATGAATGTCTCAATGCTAAATGATTGTACGTTTTGTCGATATAGGGGCGCTATCTCAAAGACATTTATAGGCACTACCAACTTTTAATCTGTTTGCTGATTATATTTTGATTAATGCTTTATATCTTGGTTCCTACGTACAACTCATTGGTAAGTAAGAGGAAAAGATATAGTGGAGCTACATGTGTATTAAGGTATAGTGGAACTACATGTGTATTAAGGTATAGTGGAGCTACATGTATATTAAGATATAGTGGAACTACATGTGTACTAAGGTATAGTGGAACTACATGTATATTAAGATACAGTGGAACTACATGTGTATTAAGGTATAGTGGAACTACATGTGTATTAAGGTATAGTGGAGCTACATGTATATTAAGATATAGTGGAACTACATGTGTATTAAGGTATAGTGGAACTACATGTGTATTAAGATATAGTGAAACTACATGTATATTAAGATACAGTGGAACTACATGTGGAGTGAAATGTGTACTAAGATATAGTAAAACTATATGTATACTAAGATATAGTGGAACTACACGTATATTAAGATACAGTGGAGCTGCATATATATTAAGGTATAGTGGAGCTACGTGTGTATTAAGACACAGTGGAGCTACATGTGGAGTTAAATGTGTATTAAGATATAGTAAAACTATATGTATACTAAGATATAGCGGAACTACATATATATTAAGATACAGTGGAGCTGCATATATATTAAGGTATAGTGGAACTACATGGTTCCAGGCTTCTCAACCTTCCATAGCCGAGATATTAAATGGTTTATTAAGGCAGGTTCAACCATTCATATCATAGATCGGTCGGTAACCGAGATAGCAAATGTTTCAGCTAAGTTTGTTTTTAGATGAGTTAAATTGTCTGGACAAATGGTGTTGAGTTTTACATATAATTTATTTTATTTAAAACCAAATGGATTTTGGAGACTGTTATCTATGTTGTAGTATGTTCTGTTACATATTTCTCAAATTTTTGTGTTACATATTATTCGGAGTTTGCATAACATCTTTCAAAGTATAGCTTTCAATACTTCACGTTTCTATGAACACCAGTTCTTTATAATGAAATAGGCACTTACCTAGAAACCAGTGGTTCAGCCCATATTTCCGTTATCATCCGTTCTTTATAATGAAATAATAACTTACCTAGAAACCAGTGGTTCAGTCCGTATTTCCGTTATCATCAGTTCTTTATAATGAAATAGTCACTTACCTAGAAACCAGTGGTTCCGCCCATATTTCCGTTATCATCCGTTCTTTATAATGTAATAATAACTTACCTAGAAACCAGTGGTTCAGTCCGTATTTCCGTTATCATCAGTTCTTTATAATGAAACAGTCACTAACCCAGAAACCAATGATTTAACTCACAACTTTATACTTAACTTCTGGTTACTTCACAGTTTTATGATACAATCCCTCCACGTTTGTATGACCTCCTATCTTAAAGTCATAACTTTGGTTAATGTATCTTCAAATCCAGAGTTCGATTCTCAACTGTTACAAAATCATCATGCTTAAGTGTTCATTTACCTGAAAAACCAGGGTTTAACTTCCTAACTCTGTAATTAACATAAGTGCACCTTGGTCGAAAATAACCCATTTATATATCCAGTGTTCAACACTATAACTCTATAGTTTCGTCTTTGCACGCTGATACGGTCACTGCTGTTAAAATCAGTCTTCCTTGCGACTCTCAAAAGCATCTTACTCCCGTACATAGGGTCTGTTTCGTCACGTAGAATGCTCTCCAGTTATAAACCAGATTATACTTATTATTGTTTGCTTAGTATAAGAGTTTAGGAATACCCTAAGTCTCCTAAGCTGGCCGAATATCTAGAGATATTATTGGGATCATGATCGTTAACGGCGAAGGTACCTAACTATTA